TGTGAAGTGTTTGGTCTGAGGCCGGATTTGAACTCAGGTCCTCCTGACTTCAGGGCCGGTGCTCTATCCACTGCGCCACCTCGCTGCCCCATCTCCTCCTAATTCTTATCTGAGTAGTTTCTCTGATTGGGAGAAGGGGGAGAAGAACTTGTGCCGAAGATGACGAGCGACTGGACAAGGAAGAGCCACCCAGCCAGTTGTTTTTAAAAGGACAGGACGAGTGTCTGTCTGCTTGAGCGTTTGGCATCCTGCTTAGTCTGTCATACACACGCACACATACATACGTGTGGATATGCATATATGTAAGTAGGTATATACACACATACGTGCATATATATGCATATGTATATAATTGTTGGTCAGTCATTTTTCTATTGTGTCTGACTCTTCATGACCCCATTTGGGGTTTTCTTAGCAAAGATACTGGAGTAGCTTGCCATTTCCTTCTCCAGCTCATCTTACAGATGAGCAAACTGAGGCAAATAGGGTTAAGTGACTTGCCTAAGGTCATGCAGCTGCTCAGTGTCTGAGGCCACATTTGAACTGCAGAATATGAGTCTTCCTGACTCCAGGCCTAGCACTCTATGAACTATGGCACCCCCTAGCTTCCCATATGTGTGTGTATGTGTGTGTGTGTAACAAGGATATATATGATCAAAAGAAAGGTCCCATACTGGACAGATTATGGATAGCAGCATATTTTGTAGCAGGAAAGAGCTGGAGACAAAGTAGATGTCCGTTGATTGGGGAATGGCTAAATTGAGGCACGTAAATGTGATTGGACAAACCATAGACATAGAATTGAGAAGTCACTAAGTCCATCCCCTTCATTTTATGGAGGAAGGAAACAGACCAGTGGAAGTTAAGTGACTTGCCTGGGATCACAGAGCTAATAAGTGCCTAAGGAGGGGTTTGAACCTGGCTCTTCCTGGTTCCAAGTCCAGTACTCTGTCCACTGTACCCTGATACCTCTAAAACACAATGTATCTGATGAATATTTAGAGAAGCCAGGGAAGATTTATGTGAACTGATGCAAAGTGAAATGAGCAGAATCAGGAGAACAATAAACACCAAGATCCTAGCAAGGTAAACAGAAAGAACTACTACTGCTAACAAAACCATTGAAATCAGATATTTTGAAATTATAATGACCAAGCTTGGCCCCAACAAAGAGCCACGACAAGGGATCTACCTCCCTTCTTTGTGACGATGGGAGAGGGTGTGGAACACTGGAAGTAATGTCAGATTTTGTTCATGCACTGGTTAGTTTTGCTGAACTGTTTTTATTAATTTGATTCTTTGTTACAAGGGGGCCAGGTGGGACTTATTGGGAAATACAGTTGATGCAAAAACCAAAGGCATCAATGTAATCATGTAAAACATTTGAAAAATAAGTTAGTTCTTGAAGGGTGCCCAGCTCCTTTCTGCCATTCTATGATCTGATAGACTCCAAAGATCCAGGGCTAGGAAGCAGCGGGGAGGACAGAGAACTACCCGGGAGACAGATGATGTGGATGAAGAGCTAGCTAGGGCCAGGGGCAGAAGAATGGGTAACCCTAACCCTCGTCTGGAGGACAAGTCACATTAGCCTTTACCAGGAGATCATGCTTGGCAAGGGATCTACAAGTTAGCAAAGAAAAGTGCAGCCTAGGACCAGGTGATAAGGTGAGAGAAGACCAGAAAGCATTGGGCCAGAAACTCTCCTAGTCCAGGGAGATGGCGACGCTCACTGAGTCAGACTCCTCTCTGGAGGACTCGGCAGGTGCAGTTTCTCCTTTCCTCAGCTCTCTCCTCTCTCTGCTTGGCCCAGAGGGCAGAACCAGGAGGGGGGTGGTATTGAGGGGAAGATGTAAGGTGAAGGCAAATTTCCTACTAGTGAGAGTTGCCCCAAAGTGGAATGGGCCCCCCCAGGAGGTAGAGGCTCATAAGGGACTACCCAGCAGGGTAGGGGATTGCTGAGGCCAGAGGACAATGCTGGAAGGCTCATCAGGGGAGACTTCACTGCCCTCAGGCTGAAGAGAACTGCTGCCCTGTGGGGGTGATGCAAGCCAACCAGAGGCAGCTGCTGAGGATGCTGGTCCCTCTATGTCCAGGGGAGGGGGCTCCCTGCATTGGGGCCAGCATCAGCCTCACAGAATCTCAGAGCCAAAAGGGAGGCCCCCTGGTCCAGCCTGGATCTGACCAAGACTTCCCCTCTCCAACAGACCTGACAAGGCGCCATCCAGCCTCTGCTTGAAGACTTCCAGTGACAGGGAGCTCACTACCTGGAATGGGTCTCATTCAGAAGGATTCCCTGATGTCAAGCCTAAACTGGCCTCTCTGCCCCCTCCCCCCACCTTGTCTTGTCCTCTGGGCCCAAGCAGGACCAGGTTAAGCCCTCCTACACACAGCAGGCCTTCCGTTAATTGTACACAGATAACTATTGTGCTGCTGTCCAACCCCATCCCCCAACCTCTCTTCCGCAAGTGAAACATCTCCTGTTCCTTCAGCCAGTCCTTATATCACATATTCCCCTCCTCTTCGCCCTCGTCTGTATCAATGCGTACTGAACCAATACTCCGCGTGAGGTCTGAGCTGGGCGGAGGACAGACTCTCATCTCTCTATTTCTGGAAGCTCTGAAGTACAAGACTGAATTAGCATTTGAGGGCTACCACATCATGCTGATGACTCATGCCAAGCTTGCATGCAGTCCACTGAGATTCCCAGATCTTTTCCCAACAAACTGCTATCCAGTCAGGCCTCCCCCACCCCTCCTGCTTTGTTTTGTGAAGTTAATTTTTTTAATCCAAGTGTAAAACTTTACATTTATCTTCACTGAATTCATTTCGTTAGATTCAACTAATTGCTGTGGCCTGTCATGATCTTTTCGATATGTTCAAAAACACACTGGCTCGATCATCGTACCACTCCCCTGAACACTGCATCAGACTATCAGAAGCACACGAGAGGACTTGTACACGCCAGCGTGTAAGCACACATTGTGGATGTCCCATGGGATCGGGCTGGTGCACATCAATGCACTTACCCATCTGACGACAGCTCCCCCTAGTCCCTTCCTCCCCTCCTAGCTCTCAGATCCCCTCCCCCACCATCTCCTCCTTCCTCCCTGCGTCACATGGAGAGCTGGCCCCTCCCCCTACATGCACAAATGACCCCAGGCCCTCCCGTTCCCTCCAGCAGATTGCTCCTCTCATCCTCACTCCTGCTTAGATCTTCCTTTTCTCCTTGTCTAGTGGCTACTTCCCTATTGCCCTCAAACATGCCCATGTCTCTCCCATCCTCAAAACTCCCTCCCTTGATCCTTCCATTGAATTTTTGTCCTACATCAAAGCTCCACTCAGGGGCCACCTTCTCCATGAAGCTTTCCCTGATGGCTCCAGGTGGTAGCATTTTTGCTGTCTTCAAATTTTCTTTGTCTGGCTTTCTCCTTCATATCCCATTACATCCTACCTGCATTTCCCCTTCCGGGCACGTGTGGTGGGTAGCTCTCCAGTAGAATGGAAACTCTTGAGGGCAGGACTTTGTTTATGTGTCCCTAGTGCCTTGCACAGAATAGGTGCTAAACAGAGGTTGAACCGAATTGTTGAAAACTGAGGGGAAGGAGTGGGAACTCACGTATAGTGTGTCCTGCGGGGCAGGTCACAGACCTCCCCCTACCCTCCACGCCCCCCCCATGCATTCATGCCACTCCTGTGTGTTCAGAACCTCCTGTCCCCCCCCATCAAACCCCCCGGATACCAGGACTGGACTGGGCCCCCAGCACATGCCACAGGCCCTGCACCAGCCCCTCTCCTGGGACAGAAGCCAGACAGCACACCCCAAAGCCCCTCCCCAATACAAACCCATGCAGCATTGTCCAGAGATTCAGGTAGGGTTATCTGTAAGCACACATTTTCCTTCCCAATATCAGCCTTCCATTTATATCACTAAACACAAGCCAAAGTGATGAAAGTGGTGACAGAATTTTCCCCTAGACCTCTACTCTCCACCCCAGGTTACCTCATACGCAGCCGAAGTTACTTGTCATCAGTTCTCTGTGCCAGGGAGGGACTCTTTCCTACCTAATTCCTAGTTATTTGTGGGCTCTGTCCCCCCCTCCCCGCCCAAAGGCTAGACAGATGTTGAAACCTTGGTGAAAAGGGGCATTCCCTCCCCTCACCCCTCAGAAGGGCAATAGCCAATCTTTGCTCTGAGTCCCATGGAGAGGCCAGCTCTGAACACTGGGCTAGGAAGGTCAAGAAAAAGATGTGGAGGGAAACAGGGTATCAGCTATCTCGGGCAGAGAGCCCAGGACACAAGGGAGAAGGGTGGGGGAAGGGGTATAGGGAAAGCAAGAAAATGAGAGAGGAAGAGGGAAGGAAGGAGGGAGAGTGTGAGAAAAGGAGAAAAGAAGGAGAGAATAGGGAGGTAGAGGGGTGGAGGAGAGATAGGAGAAAAGAAAAGGGAAAGAAGAAAAGAGGAAGGAGGAAGACTGGGAGAATAGGTGATAGAGAGAAGGAGAAAGAGATTGGAGAAAGCCAGGAAAGGAGAGAGGGATGTTAGAAAAACAGGCAAGGAGAGTGGGAAAGTAGGAAAAGCAGGGAGCCCGGGGAAAGAACGAAGGAGGGAGCCAAAAATGAGAGAGAAAGAAAAACAGGAAAGGAGGACCAGATGAGAGGGAGAAGAAAGAGGAGATAAGGCAGGCGGGAGTTCCAGAGAGGAAAAGGGGGGAAGGAAGGGGGAGGCAGGGAGTGTGAGAGGAAAAGGGAAAGAGGGAGAGAGGAGAGATAGAAAGACACAAGGGAAGGAGATTCATGGCACAGAGAAAACGAAGATGCAGATGGAAGGAGGAAGAAAGAAAGCAGAAAGGAGAGATGGCAAGGGAAAGGAGACGGAAGGAAGGACGAGGAGGGCAGTGGAGAGTGGGTTTCCGAGTAGAGTGCAGGGCACGTGTGCCTGGAGCCCTGGCCTCGGGCCAAGAGTTCTGGCCAGGACATTGTGGGGGGGCTGGACTACTCACCTGGCCACAGCGCGCTCAGCCCGCGGGCTGCGCGCCTTGTCCAGTCCCAGGCGGGTGAGCATGGCGCCGAGCGCCAGCACAGCCGCGACACCGCACACGCTGTAGACGGCTACGTGGGCACGGTCGCGAGTCGGGCTGGGCGCCCCGGAGCTCCCCGCGCCGCCGTCTAGGGAGCCTCCGGACGAGCGCGGAGAGCCGGTCTGCAGCCAGCTGGGCGTGTCGTAGTTGGAGCAGCGGCTCTGGTCCAGGCGGCGCGGGGCGTTCCGGCAGCAGAAGCGGTAGCCACACGTCCCGCAGCAGTAATGGTACGGCCCCGTGCTGCAGTTGAACGGCGGGTCCCACTGACCCATCACGTCGTAATAGCCCAAACACCTTTCTCCGCCCGCTCCTGGGGACTCACTGGGCGCCTCCAGCGCCTTCTCGGGCCTGGGGCTGGGGCTGCCGCCCGCACCGGGCTTCGTCTCGCCCTTGTCCTGAGTCCCCGCCTCGAGAGGCGCCCGGCCTTGCGTCCCGTCCGACGCCAGCAGCAGCAAGAGCAGCAGCCCGGGGAGCGGGCGCCAGGGCGCTGCTCTAGCCATGGACATGCCCCCTGCCTCCCGGACTCTTCCGGGAGGCGACCCCGGCCACACTAAGAGCCCCCTGGCATGGCGCCCCCGCCGAGCCCCTGCCCGGAGCCCGGGGAGCACGCGGAGGCCGCCAGCACCGGACCAGCTCTCTCACTCGGCTGCCGTTCCCCCCTACTCCACTGTTTCTTCGGTCCCTCGACTCTGCTCTCCTGCTCCACCTTTCCTCACCTTTCTCCTTCCTCTCCCCTCTTCTCTCCTTTCCCTCTTTTCTGTCTCCTCTCTCCCTCTCTTCCCTTTCTTTGGGTCCCCTAAAGTCTTCTCTCCTTCCCCCCTTTCTTTTCCTCCTCTCTCCAATCTCGCCTCTCTCCCCTAGATCTCTCCCCACTCTTCTTTTCTCCCGTCCTCCTTCCACTTTCCAGTTCTCTCTCTCTCTCTCTCTCTCTCTCTCTCTCTCTCTCTCTCTCTCTCTCTCTTCTCTCCTCTCTCTCTCTCTCTCTCTCTCTCTCTCTCTCTCTCTCTCTCTCTCCCCCCCCTCCCCAGTTAATGACCCTCTAGCAGGGGCCACGGTCGGGTGAGAGAATTGGCCGGGCCTGGCGTCCCGAAGAGCCCCTCAGGCGGCCCCCCCACGCTGAAAGCCTCCCACTTCTCGCTCTCTGTCCCTCGCTCGGCTCGTCTTCCTTCCTCGCTGGCGCTGGCGAAGACACTGAGTGCTTTACACCCGGGAGAGAGGAGAGGGAAGAGCAGGGGAGGCGGGGGGGGGGGGAGGAGAAGGAGGAGACAAAAGAACTGGGAAAGGACAAGCGGCTCCCTCACCCCCTCCCCGGGAAGGGAGGGGAGGGATGGGTGGAAGTTACGGGGATACAGACACCAGCTCAGTGCTAGCAAGATCTTCTAAGGGTCAGAGCTGTCCTGCAACACTAGGGGCAGCCCCTGAGGGAATGAATCAGCTGGGAGGTTGGCTTGAGGGGAGGTAGCGGTGTGTGTGTGTGTGTGTGTGTGTGTGTGTGTGTGTGTGTGTGTGTGTGTGTGTGTGTGTGTGTGTGTGTGTGTGTGTCTGTCCGTCCAACAGAAGCTGGAGGAAGGCTCTTCAGGGGTGCTCGGTATCCTAGGCTCTAAATAATCTAGGCTTCTCTCCCTTCCATTCTCACCCTACCTTCTCCGTGCTCAGGCTGTCTGTCCCCCATGTTTGAAATAGCTCCCCCCGGGCCCATTCTTTTCTGTTGAGCTTCTTGTCTTCCTTTCCAAGGCTCAGAGAAGGGGAAAGACAGGGAGGGGCTTTCTGAGACCCCGTTTGCCCTGGGAGCTGGTGCCCCTCCTACCGCCCTAAATCCCTCCCACCTCTCTCCTAGGGTGTAGGTGCCCAGGGAAGGCTCTCATGGTCCCCAAAGCCCCCAAAGGCCAAACTCTCTCTCTCTGTCTCTCTCCCTCTGCTGCTCTGTCTCTCTGTTCCCTCTCTGTCTCTCTCTGTCTGTCATGGTTACTGTCAGTGGTCTACCCTTGGATTCAGGAGATCTGGTTTTCAATACAGACTCTCCCACCTGCTTTATCAAATGTGTGATGTTAGAAATCATTCCAGCCTCTGATTTTCAGTTTCTTTTCCTATAATGTGGAAACAACAACTACTGACTGGAAAAGGTGGTTATGAGGAATGTATTTCAAAAATTACAAGACCCTGCTCAGTTTCCCCAACCCTAATCCTTGGTTCTCAGGGAGCGTCCCACAGGTGCACTTGAAACAGTGACTTCCCTTCACTAAGCCTCACTTTTCTTCTTATAAAACAAAAAGATTGGGCTGGGTGATCTCTAAGCTCTCTCTAAGCTCCCTCCCAGCTCTGACATCCCCTGTTCTAAGCTCTCTCCCAGCTCTGCCGTTCTCTGTTCTGAGGCCCCTCTCAGCTCTGCCATTCCCTGTTCTAAGCTCCCACCCAGCTGACATCCCCTGTTCTAAGGCCCCTCCCAGCCCTGACATCCCCTGTTCCAAAGTCTTTCTCAGTTTTTATTTTATTTTATTTTTTGTTCTAAGATCCTTCCCAGTGCTTACATTTTCTCTTCTAAAGTACCTGACATCCTGGGCTCTAAGGCCCCTGCTGACATTCTGTGCAACCTCCACCCACCAGAGCCAAGCACCCCTCTGGGAAGGCTTAGCATCAACTCTCAGACTAGGCTAGGTTACCTTTCCTGAAGCACAGAAGCAGAAAGCCTTGCACTTTTGAAAGGTTTTCCTGAAGATAAAATAAGCAGAGGGAGGGGAGAGATTTTACTGGGTACTGCCCATAGTGACCACCCAGATGTCAGCACAACACACACAGACCAAAGGGGGCATAGGGACAGTCAGTGTGTACTGACAATAAGCAGTGCCCAGGGAAGGGAGGTGTGCCAGGGCTAGCCCTTGCTCTGTTCACTTGACTGAGTGTTACCATCTGGCTCACCCAGGGCGGCTTCTCCAGCCAGGGATGACCTGCCAACAAACAGACTGGTGAGGACCCTTCGGTTAGCTAAAATAAAAGCAGTCTGCCCACTGAGATGGGCATCCACTCCCCACCTCCAACATGCCTCTGCCTCCCAAGGAGAACAATCCCTAGGGAGATACTGTAGATACAATAGATACTGTGGCTGTCCCTTGCCACCCAGGAGTCTTCCAGTGGGATGAGTTGGGTGGGCAGAGGATTATGCCCATGTAAAAGGGACTATGAAAGGAGAAGACTTCCCCCTACAGCTTTCATCGGCCCTGAGCACTGTGGCACAGCTATAGGACCTCAGGCCTCACCCCCTCCCCAGAGCAATGAAAAATGTCCATCCACTTCATCCATCAAACAGTCATAATAAATGCATATGTACTTTGGGGGACAAGGTCATGTGTACGCATATGCATGTACACATGCATACTGTCCCCACTCGTCATAAGGCTGTAGTGCTGAACGTGGGGCCAGGCCATCCTGAAGATGGCACCTCATCTCCTCCTCACCTGCTCAAGACCCAAAGGCACACCTAAATTTGTCCAGTCCTAGAGGAAGTCTGTCCCTGCTCCCATCCTAGGGAAGGAGGTGTTAATCACAGGATCCAGGACTGGAAAGAACCTTAGACACCATCTAGTGGAACCCCCTCATTTTACAGATGAGGAAACTGAGGCCCAGACAGAGTGAGGGACTTACCCACCATCACACGGGTCATAAGTAGCAGAGCTGGGATTCAGACCCAGGACTTCTATGGCAGCCTCAGGCCTTCCCTCTCGCCTTAGGTGGCAGCTATGAGGGAAGGTTTTAGGGCTTCTGATCCAGAATTACACAGATGCATTCAGGACTACACGTAGTATATCTCTGGCCCCAATCATTCCTATCTCTTTTTTCCTTTTTTTCTACTTATTTTAGTATTTTATTTTTTCCCAATTACACATAAAAATTATTTTTAACATTTGTTTTTAAAACTTTGAGTTCCCAATTCTCAACCTTCCTCTCTCCCAACCCCCCTCATTGAGAAGACAAGCAATTCGATATAGGTTATACATGTGTAGTCATGCAAAACATTTCCATATTAGCCATGTTGTGAAAAAAAAAACACAGGCCAAAAAAAAAAACCTAAAAAAAGTTTTTAAAAAGTATGCTTCAATCTACATTCAGACACCATCAGTTCTTTCTCTGCATCTCTATCTCTTAACTCCCTGCATCTGCTCTGCCCAATGTCATCTCCCGTAAATCCCTTCACTTTCCTCCTTCCCTCAAATGTAATCCTTCTTACTGCATCCTACTCACCTCCTGAGCCTGGAGCAGAGAGCCGTCTCTGTTGTTCAGAGCCCTGTCTCTGTGACTCAGCCAGAGTGACCCCAGAGACCTTGGTCCCAGGAAGAAGAGTGATCTTTCAGGCCAACTCTTGAGGCTGCCGGGGCGGGGGGGGGGGGCAGGTGGGGGGGCAGGGATGAAAGCACTGGTTTTGGATTCCAGTTCTGCCTCTACTATTAATGTGTGAGTTGAGGCAAGTTATTCTCCATCTTTGGGTCCCAGTTTCTACCTTTGTAAAATGAGGGCACTGGACTCTAGGGTCCCTTCTAGCTCTGACATTCTCTGACCTAGAAGTTCGTATTTGATCCTAGAGGTAATAAGGAGCCACAGAGGCTTCTTGAGCAGGGTCAGAATTATGACAATTCCTTTGGCACCTGTGGAAAAGCAACTGGAGTGGGGTGAGACTTGAGGCAGGGGACCTGTTAGGAGGCTATTAGAGCAGTGTAGGCTAGACGTGATGAGGGCTTTGATGAGGGTAGTGGCCATGTCAGTGGGGAGAACAGGGACAGATGGGAGATGTGAAGATAGAATAAACAAGATGTGGCAATCAAGGAGCACGAGACGTCAAGGATAACTTGGGGATAGTGAGGCTGGGGACTAGAAGAACAGTGGCACTCTTGATGGAAGTAAGGAAGTTAGGAAGAGGGGCAGGTTTGAGAGGAAAGAGAATGAATTGTTTGGGATGCATGGAATTGGCGATGCCTATGGGACAAGTAATTTAGGAACATCTAATAGGCAGCTGGTGCTGTGTGACTGGAGTGAAGGAGAGAGCTGAGGGATGGATTCCTGGATCTGGGAGTCGTTGCCACAAAGACTATAAGGGAGCCTTTGGTCTCTAGTGGAAATACGAATTCCATTAGCTTTTCAAGCCCTTGCAATCTGGCTCCAGCCCATTTCAGGCTGATTATGCGACATTGCATCTTGTAGCTGGCCGCCTTCCCCGGCTTGTCCCCCATGCCTGAAATGCACTCCCTCTTCACCTCCACCATACAGAATCTCCTCCTTTCTTCAAGGCCCAGCTCAAAGGCCACCTCCTACATGGAACCATTCCTGTTCCCCCCACTTACTAGAGTCTGTCACCTCCAAATGACTTTGTGTCTACCTTGTATTCATGTCTGTGTTCATGTTTCCCTCCAATAGAATAGAAGCTTATTGAGGGCAGGGATTGTTTCGATTTTGTCTTTGCATTTCCACATTGCAGGAACTTAATCAATGATTGCTGAATGAATAATGTCCCTCCCAGCTCTGACTGCTTTTCCCCCTCCTCTGGTCTTTTCCAGCTCTGTAATTTTGAGATAAGGACGTAGGTGTCAGCCACGTTAGCTCTGACTGAGAAATGTGCCCTGACCTCAGATGGATTTGGGAACTGAACCCTGAACATTTTCCCTTTTCTGCTGGTTCAACAGATGAGGATTTGTCTAGCTTGGGTGTTGCCTTCACTGAGACAGGTTCTAGCCCTTCTCTGTCTGAGCAGATGG